AAAGGGAAAGTGAAGGCGACCGGGTATCCTTTCATCTACTTCATCTGCTCTAAGGATTGTTAAATCTAAAAGTGGAACGTCTCGTTCTTTTTAATTGCAACGGGTTGTTTTTCTTATTGTACTTTTACATCAAAACCATGATTTTGTATGAAGAAATACTCTTGTTTCGAATTTAAATAATTTTTATACTTAAACCTCGACCAATCTCACATATTTTATCAATATTTTCCCCACCCCTTTTCTACAACTCAGACCATTATTTAGGTAAACGAAGTTTCTCTTCACTTTAGGCCAAAACTACTTGAAACGAGTATACTGCACAATAGTGTGTGTATATATTACTCATGTTTTACTAACATAAACACGTAGGGCTATGAATATGTTAACAGCGTATTGATTGGTTAATCGATGGTTATATGATAAAATAATGCAACGAAAAATGTAATAAAATAACGAACACAAATCAGTTCTGCATGCGTTTTCAAGCGTGATTGTATTTCGTAAGACAAGCTTACGTGGTTGTTTGTTAGGGTCTTATGTCAATGCACGTAGGGGGCGGGGGTGGGTGGTTCAGAGTTTTTTCCATGCATCTTCTCCGTCTACCCCCCCCCCTCATCTTCCCCGAACGAATTAAAATTTATATTGAAAAAAAAAATGCTTGTACCATTTTCTGTCCCGCCTCGCCCCCCCCCCCCTTCCACTCCCCGGAAATTTTAGTGTGCACTTCCCTCCCCCCCCCCCCCCGAAAATCTCAAGTATCTCCCCTCCCCTTAAGCAAAAAATCCGGAAGAAACACTGAGGTTTGGGAACAGCTAACAATAGGGGTATTTTTTTTAAAAATTAAGGTTTTTTTTTATGTCGTTATGAGGTCTTATGTCAAACTAACATGGGGATTCTTTGTGAGCTGATTAATGGGGGGGGGGGGTTGTGTGATCTGGTCATGAGGGGTCTTATGTCAGATGACCGTAGTAATATTGTGTCTACCGACCATAGGGGTCTTATGTCACTGACCAGGGGTCATGTGTCATTAGTCCGCTGATGGGGGGGGGGATGTGGATCCTACCTCGCGATGTGATGTTGTGTGGGAGGGGATCTTGTCTCACTAGCCCATGGATTTTTTCTCTCTACATCCCGTTGGTGCAGGGGTCGGCAACCTTTTGAAGCGGAAGAGCCAAAAGTTACAATTTTCGAAATTTCCCTGGTTTTAAAGAGCCACTAACATTTTTTTTATTTCAAATATTTTTTTTTATTAAGATTATTAGTATTTGTGCAAGGAGCTGGAGAGCCGCATCTTGATATCAAAAGAGCCGCATGCGGCTCGCGAGCCGCAGGTTGCCGACCCCTGCGTTTGTGTCTTATTTATACAGGTCTTGTTTACGTGTTTTAAATTATTTTTTACTTGTAGCACACACAATTTTAATCGAATAATTGTATGTGTTTTTAAGCTATGTCTTGTTAATTGCTACGTTATGTGTGTGTTAATTATTGGTTTGTTTTCTTGTTACTTAATGTTACTTTATTAGTTACTGTTACGGTGTGTCTTATTAGTCATAACATTCTTGTATTACTTTATGGCTTGCTAGTCATTGTTACGTTATGTCTTGTTAATTATTGTTACTTTTTTGTCTTTTATTGATTACGTCCCTTGCATGAGATGTATATATTCTTTTTATGTCCCTCGAGTGTGTTCTGGGCTGTGCACTGCCCGTCAATGACTGAGCACAACTAAAGAACTCAAGACACATTTCTCAGTCTGTTCTCTACCTGCTTAACCAAGTTCTTATGTAAACATCATGGCGTCTGGTGCTGTGTTATAAGCAGACAGCAGGCATCTCTTCGGTGGGGGTGGGGGACGTTTTTAGGCGTTGCTTTGCCCCCCCCCCCTCCCCTTGAACGTAATAAAATTTATATAGAAAATATACACTTGTACCACAGTCCTCCCCCCCCCCATCCCTGCCCCGGAAATTTTAGACCACCCCTCCAGAGGCGTGGCGATGGGGGGGGGGGGGGGGCAGGGGGTACATATGTCCCCGGGCGCCGACCTTAGAGGGCGCCAAAATGTCATTTTAGGTGCATTTTTGCCTTATAAACAGTTTGAGGGGGGGGGTGCAAATAAAAAATTGAGGGGGGGGGGGGCGCCAAATTGAAAGTTTGTTCCCGGGCGCCGGGAAGGGTCGCTACGCCTCTGCACCCCTCCCCTTGGAAATTGTATTTACCCCCCCCCCCCCTCCGAAAATTTCAAGTGCCCCCCCCCTGCAGAAAAAAGTTCTAGAAGAAACACAGGCTGTAAGTACAGCGAGTTGAGTAATGTAAGATGGGCCTCAACCGCCTTTAGATATCAAGCTCGCCATACTGGGACGGCCTGGCTCTACAGCCAAGGGAAATAACTGGGTAGAAATTTTAATAGAAAATCGTCATTTTTAATCTAACAATATATGCTATATTCTTATCGACCGTAAAAGCATTAATTGATTGAGATAGTCGTTTTGAGTGTAACATTAATTATCTACTATATTCTTATCAACTGTAAAAGCATAAATTAGTTGACTGAAGTATTTGTGTTGCTCACATAGAGTAGGCCTATTTGTAAGTAGTTCAGAGTTACTAAATTCTACACATTTGTAATTTTAAATTTTGATATCTCCATGTATCTAAAAAAAATGTATATATATTTTGTGAGATTATTTTTTTTAAAGTGGTTATTTTAAAAAAATACATTTTATAAGAGGTGGCCTGCGGTAGAGCGCAGAGGCATAGCGAGGGGGGGGGGCATATGTCCCCGGGCGCCGACCTTAGGGGCGCCAAAATGGGTTGGAAAAATAAATTGAAATCTTGAGGGGTGGGGGATGCAAATCAAAAGTTTGAGGGGGGGTGCAAATCGAAAGTTTGTCCCCTGGCGCCGGGAAGGGTCGCTACGCCTCTGTTAGAGCGCTAAACACCTAACCCAAAAGTCTCGAGTTCGAATCCGGTTTGAAGTCAGTAGAACGTCCCTGGGTCTATCAAGTTGTGATAGGTACCTGACTCACATCAAGGAAAGAATAGTACTGACAACATTATTCCTCTATATGCCGAGGTCATAGAAACAAATGAGCTTTAATTTATCAGCTCCTTGTGTCTTGGGCACGACAGGTAAAAGATGATGATGGTGTTTAAAATTACAAAATTAGTATCTAACAAAATAATTTATTTTAAATATATATAATAAAGTGTTTTTATTTTTTTCAAGCTGTATCAAACCTTCTAACTTTAATTCTAGCTGAAATAGAATCAGTTATTGTTGTGTAAATGATTAAAAGGTACACGCTTAGAAATCTAAAGCACGACAGAGGAGCTGATAATTTTTTTTTTAATTTAATTTAATTTTTCTGAGATAATATTGGCAGTGGCGTCACTAGGTAGGATTGACGACTGGTGTGGTATCCCAGGGTGTCACGTCCCCCTCCTCCAACGTCACCCATTCTTCGTCCCACCTCCAACGCCCCCCCCCCCTCCTGCAACTTCCCCCCTCCTCGAACGTCCCCGACCTTTCTCCAACGCCCCCCCCCCTTTCTCCGTCCCCTCCTCCAACGTCCCCCCCTTTCCCGGTTCCTCCCATTTCTCCAACGTCCTCATCTCTCTAACGTCCTCCTCTCTCCAACGTCCTCCTCTCTCCAACGTCCTCATCTCTCCAACGTCCTCCTCTCTCTAACGTCCTCCTCTCTCCAACGTCCTCATCTCTCCAACGTCCTCCTCTCTCCAACGTCCTCATCTCTCTAACGTCCTCCTCTCTCCAACGTCCTCATCTCTCCAACGTCCTCATCTCTCCAACGTCCTCCTCTCTCCAACGTCCTCATCTCTCCAACGTCCTCATCTCTCCAACGTCCTCATCTCTCTAACGTCCTCATCTCTCTAACGTCCTCCTCTCTCCAACGTCCTCATCTCTCCAACGTCCTCCTCTCTCCAACGTCCTCATCTCTCCTACGTCCTCATCTCTCCAACGTCCTCATCTCTCTAACGTCCTCCTCTCTCCAACGTCCTCATCTCTCTAACGTCCTCCTCTCTCCAACGTCCTTCTCTCTCCAACGTCCTCATCTCTCTAACGTCCTCCTCTCTCCAACGTCCTCCTCTCTCCAACGTCCTCCTCTCTCCAACGTCCTCCTCTTCTAATGTCCCCCCTCCTCCATCGCCCACCCCTCTTTCTCCAACGCCCCTTTCTTCAAAGCCCCCCCCCTCAAACGTACTTGTTGCCACTTCATCACTAGGTCTATATCTATGGACACTTTGGATGGTGTCACTTGATGCTGATACTTGCGGCGCCACCCCCCCCCCCCCCCCCCCCGACTGGCCACACTACTGGATACCGCTGAAGAAACTGTCCACACATTTAACGTGAATAGTCAGCCTGCTTTTAGTCGTGTTAGTGCGGGTGGTTGTACGGCGATCTACTGCTTTATTTCCTCTCTTCATGTCCAGTCAATCTTATTTTTAAAAGCTGGATGCTGTCATACACGTTCGTTTAATTTAGTTTAAATTCAACATAAGCGATTGAACATCTACACAATAAAAAGACAAACAAAAATGTGAACATAAAAAAAAAATGCAAAAAAAACAAACAAAAATTTGAAAATAAAAATAAAAATTCGAAACACGAGCATATACATTTTTAGTTTGTTTTATTAGTATACCCCTAAATTGAACAAATAATTTTAATGCCATTGTTATAATACCCTTTTCGCTATACCCGTCGGAAAACTCGAGATTACACATTTTATTACAGAAAAAGGAAAAAAAAAACAATGAATTTCTAGAAATTCCCAGCTTCTTAACATCTCGCTCGCTAATTTAAACGGAAACAAAAAAGTTTACTTTTTCTACACTCCGTGTTAGTTTACTTCAACGATGGATAACTAAATTGGAGAAAAAGAACTACTTTAAAGATATTTATGTAAATAAAAAATAATCGTATATTTGATAATATTTTAGTTAAACGAAAGAATAAAAAAATAATTCCGAAATAAAAATGTAAATTTGATGTTAGGAATAACAAAATATAAATCGAAACAATAAAAATCTGCCAGATATCAAGATAAAAACTATATAATAACACCGTCAATAAAGATCAAAATTAAATGGAAAATTTAAAAGAAGTAACACCAAGCGCAGAATGTGATAAAAATACAACACTGTAGCCACAGTGAAATCTAGAGTAGCATGCAAATCTATCTTGGCCGGTACCTATTTTCTAGGGGATTCTTCGCTACGGGTTTGAGAATTCGAAATTTGTGTTTGGTTCTGGGGACATTTTCTTCTTAGTGATTCTGGGCTATGGGTTTTTTGAATAAAATTTAGAACTTGAGTTTCGATTTCGGTCACTTTGTGAGTTAGGATTTAGAACTTGAGTTTTGAACTTGGTCACTAAGTGATTTAGAAGATGAGTTTCGACTTGGATTTATTCGTGAGTTGGGATTTAGAACTTGAGTTTTGAACTTGGTCACTAAGTGATTTAGAAGATGAGTTTCGACTTGGGTTAATTTGTGAGTTGGATAAATCTTTGTGATGACTGATAGAGTTGTATTTACCGATTGTTGTTCGTTTAGTTGTTGGAGATGTTGCATTAGCCACGGTTGTGTTTGGTGTAATTGTTTCTGAAATGGTTGTAGTAGTTGTTTATGGCGTTGTGTTTATTAGTTCTGCCCTTGTAGTTGCTGTTTCTGACATGGTTGTAAATGGTTTTTCTTTCTGGCGTTGTAGCAGTTGTTAATGTTATTGTTGATGTTATTCCTTACGTTATAGCTGTTGTTTCTTTCTAGCGTTGAAGTTGCTGTTTCTGACATGGTTGTAGTTGTTGTTTCTGATGTTGTAGTCGTTATTTCTGGCGTTGTTGGCGTTGATTCAGGGGTTGTTGTCGTTGACTTAGGAATTGTTGGCGTTGATTCAGGGGTTTCTTTCTGGCGTTGTAGATGCTGATTTTGACATGGTGGTAGTTGTTGTTTCTGATGTTGTAGTCGTTACTTATGGCGTTGTTGGCGTTGATTCAGGGGTTGTTGTCGTTGACTTAGGAATTGTTGGCGTTGATTCAGGGGTTTTAGTGGTAGTTGATTAAGGGGTATTTGTGGTAGTTGATTCAGGGGTATTTGTGGTAGTTGATTCAGGGGTATTTGTGGTAGTTGATTCAGGGGTTGTTGTTGTTGATTCGGGGATTGTTGTCGTTGACTTAGGAATTGTTGGCGTTGAATCATGGGTTTTTGTGGTAGTTGATTCAGAAATTGTTGTCGTTGATTGTGGAGTTGTTGTAATTGATTCTGGAGTTGTTGTCGTATATTTTTGAGTTTAAATTGTTGTAATTGGTGTAAGTGCTTCTTTGTTCCTGCGAATTGTGTGCCGTGGCCATTCGACATAGAGCTGGAACTCCCTGTATGGCTGTGGTGATTGCGAGATTGGGATGAGTGTCTGCTGTGGCTTCTAGAACCGTGTGAATTGTGTCTATCAGTTGTGGTCGTAGATTCTTGCGTTGTAGTCATTGTTTCAGGCGTTGTAGTTGTTGTTTCTGGCGTTGTAGTTGTTGTTTCTGGGGTGGTTGTTATTTCTGGGGTGGTAGTTGTTGTTTCTGGCGTTGTAGTTGTTTCTGGCGTTGTGATGGTTGTTGTTTCTGGGGTTGTAGTTGTTGTTTCTGCGGTTGTAGTTGTTTCTGGGGTGGTTGTAGTTGTTGTTGTTTCTGGGGTTGTTGTTGTTGTTTCTGTGGTTGTAGTTGTTTCTGGGGTTGTGGTGGTTGTTGTTTCTGTGGTTGTAGTTGTTTCTGGAGTTGTAGTTGTTGTTTCTGTGGTTGTAGTTGTTGTTTCTGGGGTTGTAGTTGTTGTTTCTGGGGTGGTAGTAGTTGTTTCTGGGGTTGTAGTTGTTGTTTCTGGGGTTGTAGTTGTTGTTTCAGGGGTTGTAGTTATTTCTTGGGTTGTTGTTTCTGTGCATGGAGTCGTTGTTTCTGGGGTGGTTGTTGTTATTTCTGAACTTGTAGTTGTTGTTTCTGTTCTTGTAGTTGTTTTTCGGGTTGTACGCATTGTTTCTGGGGTTGTGGTTGTTTCTGGGCATGTAGTTGTTGATTCTAAAGTTGTAGTTGTTGTTTCTGGGGTTGTAGTTGTAGTTTCTGGGGTTGTAGTTGTTGTTTCTGGAATTGTAGTTGTTGTTTCTAAAGTTGTAGTTGTAGTTTCTGGGGCTGTAGTTGTAGTTTCTGGGGTTGTAGTTGTTGTTTCTGGAATTGTAGTTGTTGTTTCTGGGGCTGTAGTTGTAGTTTCTGGGGTTGTAGTTGTTGTTTCTGGAATTGTAGTTGTTGTTTCTAAAGTTGTAGTTGTAGTTTCTGGGGCTGTAGTTGTAGTTTCTGGGGTTGTAGTTGTTGTTTCTGGAATTGTAGTTGTTGTTTCTAAAGTTGTAGTTGTAGTTTCTGGGGCTGTAGTTGTAGTTTCTGGGGTTGTAGTTGTTGTTTCTGGGGTTGTAGTTGTTGTTTCAGGGGTTGTAGTTATTTCTTGGGTTGTTGTTTCTGTGCATGTAGTCGTTGTTTCTGGGGTGGTTGTTGTTATTTCTGAACTTGTAGTTGTTGTTTCTGTTCTTGTAGTTGTTTTTCGGGTTGTACGCATTGTTTCTGGGGTTGTGGTTGTTTCTGGGCATGTAGTTGTTGATTCTGAAGTTGTAGTTGTTGTTTCTGGGGTTGTAGTTGTAGTTTCTGGGGTTGTAGTTGTTGTTTCTGGAATTGTAGTTGTTGTTTCTAAAGTTGTAGTTGTAGTTTCTGGGGTTGTAGTTGTTGTTTCTGGGGTTGTAGTTGTTGTTTCTGGGGTTGTAGTTGTAGTTTCTGGGGTTGTAGTTGTTGTTTCCGTGGTGCTTGTTGTTTCTGTTGTTGTAGTTGTTGTTTCTGTCGTGGTTGTTGTCTCGGGCGTTGTGGTTGTTGTTTCTGGGGTTGTAGTTGTAGTTTCTGACGTGGTTGTTGTTTCTGGCGCTGTCGTAGTTGTTTCCGTTGTTGTAGTCGTTGTTTCTGGCATTGCTGTCGTTGTTTCTGGCGTAGTTGTGGGTGTAGTTGTAGCATCTGACGTTGATGTTGTTCTTCGAGAGTCTCGACTTCTGGATCCTCCGCTGGAGCCTGAATGACTATTTGAACCATCGTGCGAGTGAGACTGTGACATGTCGTGCGACTGACCATTTGAATGTTGGTGTGAGTGACTTTGATGATTGTGCTGCCACTGACCATTTGAATGTTGGTGTGAGTGACTTTGATGATTGTGCTGCCACTGACCATTTGAATGTTGGTGTGAGTGACTTTGATGATTGTGCTGCCACTGACCATTTGATTGTTGATGTGAGGGACTCTGATGATTGTGCTGCCACTGACCATTTGATTGTTGATGTGAGGGACTCTGATGATTGTGCTGCGACTGACCATTTGATTGTTGATGTGAGGGACTCTGATGATTGTGCTGCCACTGACCATTTGATTGTTGATGTGAGGGACTCTGATGATTGTGCTGCGACTGACCATTTGATTGTTGATGTGAGGGACCTTGTTGATTGAACTGCGACAGACGATTGGATACCAAGGTACCTATTTTGCTTCTGTTAAGTAATCTTTGGTTCGAGTTTCCCGGCCATGCTAAAATTAAACAAAGGTTGTTTTTTTTATCGAGTATTGCAAAACATCATTTTATTTCATTTTTTCTTTAATAGTGTTAATTTATTAGTATTAAAAGTTTTAAGAATAGATATTAGGTAAAAAAACTGAGTTATCTTTCTTCAGATGTAAATGTGTATCAAGCAAATGTAAATGTTCTAATAATTTTTCATAATTAAATTTTCGAAAGCTGCATAAACATATCATAATTTGTTTTGTTTGTTTTTGTTTTTTTCATTTCGGATTGTCTATGAAACGCAATGTTTTTTTTTAAATATTTGTGTATAACATATATTGGACAACGTGGTCGAAATGTAGATAGTTCGACTGCTCCCCAGAAAGCGTAGAGTTCGGATTCCGATCTCGAGTCCGTAAGATGTCCTTGGTTTGACCCAATGCGTACCTGACTTACGTTAAGGAAGGTAACAGAAGTTTTGTATATTGCTGACCACACTGTACTTTCATATTCCGTGGTCAATTTAGCAGGTGACATGTACTTCGCTTGCCCCATGGACCGTCATAATAAATAGGGAACCTTTCCATGACTTACTTTACTTACCATAAAAGGCAACACAAAAAAGCCCTAGGGTAGAGCCGGGCTTAACGGATTTGTTTTGCATAAGGTTTAAGTTAAGTTTTTTAAAAACCGAGGACGACAGGAGAGCTAACTCCGAAAAATTCTCCGATACGACCCTAGAACACGGCGTGGCCGAACTGTAGAGCGCCAGGAGGCTAATTTTAAAGTCTAGAGTTCGAATCCTGGTTCGTCAATAGAACAACCCTAGTTCTCTAAAGGGAACCTAACTCGCGTTAGGGAGAGTAAGCGCGGCCGGACATCGTGCTGACCACACTATCCCTTCATATGCTGAGGTCACAGAAACATGGGAATTTTACTTCAATTTCACCATGGACCGTCAGATTAGAAAATTTTTTGTAGGGCAGTTATTAGCTGGGCTTATCGACTACTGCAGGAGAGAAAACTCCAAAATTAAACAACTGCTGCCTTGAATATTGTTCTGGGTGGAAAAAGCAAGGGAATTCCGGAGCCAACGGCGCGCGTTGCATATTGACATTCAATACGTAACTGTGTTGGATGAAATTACCCTAGTAGTTAACAAATAAAAACGATGAAGAAGAAGATGAAGAAAGAAAACATACCTGAGGCACACTCCGCAAGTATCAGCACCAGACCAACAGCAGCTAGTAAATACACCACGTGACCCATTGTTGTTAAGTGACAGGTTAGAGGAAAATCACGTAATGGTTTAAAAAATAAAACGATTCACATTTATAGTCATCTCCCCTTACACCAGTGACTGATCTTGATTGAATTCGAAAATCGTTTTTGTCATTGCTTTGATTTTTTAGATATTTAGAAGAAAAACAACTTCTACTTCTTGCAGGGGCGGATTTTACATTATTTTTTTTGGAGAATGGGTTTTGTTTTTCATGTAATGTAAGTAAAGTTCCCTTGCAAACCTGACGGTCTATAGGTCAAGTGAAGGAGAGTTCACTTGTTTCTGTGACCTCTACATATGAAGAGATTTCAATTTCGCCACACAGGTGTTTTTGTATTTTTTTAAGAGGTGGCCAGGAGGTAGAGCGCTAAACACCTAACCCAAAAGTCTCGAGTTCGAATCCGGGTTCAAATCAATAGAACGTTCCTGCGTCCATCCATTTTGGGAGAATGTTTTGTTTTCACATTATAAGAGGAGTTTCAAAATCACAGCAAAGTTTTTTTTTTGTAGATAGGACACTATGTTAAAGAACGTAATTACTTTGATTAATTATAATTTTAAAATTGTTTTGCTATTTTAAGTAATTAAAATGTAATGAATTTTGATAATTTAAAATATTCTTATTAAATAGCTGGAAATTAATCTTCCCTTACATGGAAGTTAGACGAACCACTATAGATTTGCGGTACATTTTCTTGTAACTATGGTAACCGTGCTAAAGTCGCATATGCCGTACAAGAACTAAACGGTGATTTAAGAATGGGACTGGATTTGCATAGAAAAGATTATACTAGTTATAGGGTACAATATTATCACTTAAGATCGTAGTTTTTTTTTGTTTTTTTTTTAATTTTATTTTAGATTAGATGTCCCTATCATCATTACTTCCTCTTTTCGTTCCTTACGGAGCTTAGAGCCCCTGTCAATGTTTCCCAATCTCCACAATATCCTGCCTCTTTTTTCAGCTGCCCCCAATTTCTTCCTCTCCTATTAATTCGATTTAACGTATACAACAATATCCCAAAATTTCAACAAATGAAGGTATCTCTGTTACTTCCTCTCCTATTAATTCGATTTAACACATACAACAATATCCCAAAATTTCAACGAATGAAGGTATCTCTGTTACTTCCTCTCCTATTAATTCGATTTAACACATACAACAATATCCCAAAATTTCAACGAATGAAGGTATCTCTGTTACTTCCTCTCCTATTAATTCGATTTAACATATACAACAATATCCCAAAATTTCAATGAATGAAGGTATCTCTGTTACTTCCTCTTATATTAATTCGATTTAACATATACAACAATATCCCAAAATTTCAACGAATGAAGGTATCTCTGTTACTTCCTCTCCTATTAATTCGATTTAACACATACAACAATATCCCAAAATTTCAACGAATGTAGGTATCTCTGTTACTTCCTCTCCTATTAATTCGATTTAACATATACAACAATATCCCAAAATTTCAACGAATGAAGGTATCTCTGTTACTTCCTCTCCTATTAATTCGATTTAACACATACAACAATATCCCAAAATTTCAACGAATGAAGGTATCTCTGTTACTTCCTCTCCTATTAACTAGCTGTAACATGTAGAAATATCCCTAAATTTCAACGAATAAAGATATCTCTGTTATCTTCCTCTTTTATAAATTAGATGTAATATGTACAACAGTATCCCAAAATTTCAATGAACTAAGTTATCTCTGCGGGAAGAAGTGCTGAAGAATCTTTTTTATCTTTTATTTTTTTTAAAAACATTTTTTGCCTTAAGACAAGTGGTTTTGATGTTACGCCTCTGCATTTTCTAACAAAGTTTCGGACACGCTTACTAAACATTCGCGAAAATAAATAAAAAATAACCTTGAAACTAGGTTACATGCTTGACCTATTTAGGTTGTAAATATATTGTGGGAGTATAACGAAGGTAGTATGGAAGTATTGTTGTGGGGGTTCTATCGGGGTAGTATGGAAGTATTGTTGTAGGGGTTCTATCAGGGTAGTATGGAAGTATTGTTGTAGGGGTTCTATCAGGGTAGTATGGAAGTATTGTTGTAGGGGTTCTATCGGGGTAGTATGGAAGTATTGTTGTAGGGGTTCTATCGGGGTAGTATGGAAGTATTGTTGTAGGGGTTCTATCAGGGTAGTATGGAAGTATTGTTGTAGGGGTTCTATCAGGGTAGTATGGAAGTATTGTTGTAGGGGTTCTATCGGGGTAGTATGGAAGTATTGTTGTAGGGGTTCTATCAGTAGTATATTAGGTCCCTTTTGGGTATTATTTTTGGCGGAGGTGGGGATGGGGAGGAACAATGACATATAGGAAAATACTCGGGAGCAGGATGCGCGGGTGGCGCAAAGAGATATAGTAAAATACTCCCAGCCTGGCGCATCGGGATGGGGAGGGTGGGTGAGCAGGATGTGGGGGTGGCGCAAAGACATATAGTAAAATACTACGCCAACTGGGGTTGGCGGAGGTGGTGGGGAAGTAGGTCACCTTTTGGTGACCTTGTGACGTAATCTTTGACCTTGTGACATAATCATTGACCTAGTTACGTAATTTTAATGCGTTTTTAATTAGTTTGAATTTAATTTTTAAATTTTAATTAGTTTTTTAATTAGTTACATAATTTAATTATTTGTTTGATTTTAATGAATTTAAATACTTTGTTTATTTATTTTGTTTTGTAATTTTTATTAACGAGTTACGTAATTTAATTACTTTGATTGTATTTTTATTTGTTTAATTTGTTTGTTTACTTGTTGTTTAATTTAATTACTTTGTTTATATTGTGTAATTTTTATTAACGAGTTACGTAATTTGATTATTTGTTTACTTTTTAATTATTTTTATTTTGTTTATTTTTAATTTTATTTTATTTTATAATTAGTTAAATTATTATTAACTAGTTACGTAATTTGATTTTAATTACCTTTGTTTAATTAATTTTTTTTTTATATATTTCTTTTCTTTGTTGTTTAATGTTGTTTATTTGTTTGAATGTATGTATGTTTTTAAATTCTCCCCTACAACGAGCGTGTACTAGAACAGTTTTTGTATACCAGCCTTTAACCAGACATGTAACACCTGTTACGTATCGACCGCCCGTGAACCTCCCCGCGCTGCACGTTTTTAAATGGGTATTATATCGATCGCAGCTCCAGGCCCATCACACCTAATTAAAGTTGGTCATGCATCGTGGGTTTATGTGTTGTTCACCCTCACCCTCCATTGATCGAACCCACTGACCATCAGTATGATGGTCCACCTATGTGTAATTTTTATTAACGAGTTACGTAATTTGATTTTAATTTTTTAAATTTTTAAATTTTTAATTTAATTTTATAATTAGTTTAATTATTATTAACGAGTTACGTAATTTGATTTTAATTTTTTAAATTTTTAAATTTTTAAATTTTTTTTTTTTTTTTTTTTTTTTAAATTATTATTTTTAAATTTTATTTTTAATTGTTGTTTACTTGTTGTTTAATTTAATTACTTTGTATAATTTATTTGTTTGAAATTCATTTTAATTAGTTTGCTTTTAATTTCTTTGTTGTACGCCGTTTGAAATAAAAGACTAACACTAGCGTGTACTAGAAAGTGTCATTGTGTATAACATCCATTTAACCCCAAGCTGTTACTTATTAGCGACAGCTTGTACTTATCGATCCGCCCGTGATCCTCCCCGGCGCTCCCCGTGGTTGCTTAATAGCGGGCTCACTGAAGCGATCACAACAGGTAATTAATCGAAGCCATTAAGTCCCTCTCCGCGTTAAGTGTGGCGACAGCTGGTGCTGTAATTAGTCACGGCTCTCGGCTTTTTTCATTAGACTACAGCTGTACATGAACTATGTTCACATATCATACGCCCGGTCATTCTTTGATCAAATTAAAAAATTTTGTTTCCACATGTCATGCGAACCGTCCCTTGCTATGTATGAAAGATTAATGGTTGTAACTATTCGCTTATAGCGAGGGTCAGCGAAAACAAAAATATATTTAAGGGTCGGAATTTTCTTTCAACCACCGTTAAGTCAGGTTTTGAGACGAAACGAAGTCTCGGTAGGTTCGTGTTTTTTAATGGGCGACAGGGCGACTTGATGCGTTGGTACGTAGGTATGCGGGGTTAAGGTTCTATAACTCTATATATTTAAATACGTTTTTTTTATTCAAATGAGTTTACTCCCCCTAACGTAAGTACATGTAAAGAGGGATTTCCTATAGATCTGTAATGAATTAGGCCTTTTTGACTATGACTTGTTGCCCAGGTGTTGACATGATACGCTTTTTTGAGATATACATACACACACACACACACACAAACACACACACACACACACACACACACACATGCGCGCGCGCGCGCGAAATTCATACTAGGTCGGTAATGGCGGAGAGAACTTATAGGTATACATTATCATGGCGACAACAAAAGCGACTCTTATTTTATTTACATGAAAGCGTGTTTTCCAAAAAGTGTCACCATGCCATTGTCATTTTCGCAGCGGGGTTTATTTTAAGTGTACCCCGTGCACGGTTGTTTACATTTTAAAAGACGTGTTGCGTGTCTTCCCCATAGGTCTTCCCTAATAGAGAAACGAGAGGAAAGACAACTGTTCTAAAATTAGAACAGCCTTGCCTACAGACACGAGTATCCTCCCTTGTGAAAAAAATTCGCGTCAGAATCCTTAACTAAACAGTCAATTTCTTTAACAAGTTAAAAAATAATTTAGGAAGACAAGGGTTAACAACATTAGACGCTACCGTTTTTGTTTCCTGTGACGACAAGGCACAATACACTTTTGTATTTTATGTCTCAAGTAGAGGGTGGGATATTTTTTCTTTGTAAGCGTGTTGTAAACAATGGGTAGAGGAACCGATTACTAGGTAAGAGGGGAGAGAACGTGACGTACATCGCGATATTTGAAAACATGGCGATGTTTAACCTCAACCAAAAAAGGCAATGAACCTAG